CAAGGCACTAGTAGAGTTTCCAGAATATTGTTAATGACATGGAAAGCAAAGTGTAATTTGTAGGTTGTTTCTCTTAATGTTTTCCTATTATATAGAGGGGATCAATGAAGGGGGACAATGAGTATTAAACCTTTATGCATATTGTGTGGGAGAGTCTTAGCATAGTGGCCGAACAGTTACTACCTCTAATGCAATGAAAAAATTATGTAACGCTCTGGCTAGTGTTACTGAACAGAAATGAGGGATGTGAAATCATATGTTGTGCAATTTCATTTGACATTTAAAATGTTGCAATTATTGTTTGGCAAGTACAAATAGGTTATACTAGCTCAATTGCTCATACATCCTTCCAAATATGATGGTCCTATGTGATTCGTACAATAGGATTTAATGATGTCACAATATTACTCGATCGAACTTATAGATTTCATCTGACAAATATACCTAAAGTGAACTATATAAAACCGAATCAAATGAGAAAAAGAAGTTAGCAAAGTACATAGGTACTTTCTTTCCTATTAATTTGGATTTAATTCAGTTTTTAAATGAAAATTTATATTTAGAAGTATGATTTTGACTCCGGCAACTGATACTAATGGCACTATGGCTGATGATAACTTCTCGAACGAGGTTCATAAGAGTACTGTTCGGTCACATAATTGCAAATTCTAATTAATGTGTGAATTTACGTATCTACCAGATATATTTTTATTTTTTTTGTTTTTTCACCCGATATCCATTATTCATATTGAGAGCTCGATTAAATATGGATTCGCGCAGGAAAATTCCACGGGTAAAGCACTTAACAAAGGCGACTCCATAGGGCAATTTAACATTTAAAAAACGTACCTAGTAGCTTTGGTCATATAAATTGGCAAAACCCATTTAGGAAATATTAGTAAAATCTTTTCCATATCGAAATAGGATTCCCAGGAAAATCCATATATGTCTATTTATACTCTTATTAGGTTGTTCCTAGTTAAGCCGTTAATATTCTGTCGCTTGTAGTTTCAAGAACTCAAGCCCACGACTTTGTTCTCCTTAGTTTCTTACTACTTTTTTATCGCAACTATTGAGATAAGTTTAGGCATGGATTTAGAATCACTCTTTCTAAACCATTTTGGCATAGAGAGGAAGCCAAATATTTTTAAGTTGATTAAAGCAGCCATTCACGTTGGTACATGGAAGTACCCTACAAAGTTTAAGAAGCACAAAGATGAAATATTAATGATGTTGCTGAATCCGGAAAAACCAGGGATCGGTGATGAAATCGACAGTGCTAGTGATGAAAAAGAAGATGAAGTTATAGACAGTGCTAGTTATGAAGAAGAAGATGAAGAAATCGACAGTGTTGGTGATGAAAAGGAAGATGAAGAAATCGACAGTAGTGGTGTTGAGTTCTCTGTTGATGATCTCCGCCAGACGGAGAAGAGTTCTTCTTCTTGGTTTCAAGAAACTGATCAAGAAACAGGCCATATTCTTGGGCGAGAAGGGAACTACAACGTCACGAAGGCCAAATCTACCGTATTGAAAGTAAAACTAAGTTTAATCAAGACACGGGACATTGACGACAAGCTTCAACACAAACATGTTGATAGTGATAAAGAAAAAAGACAGAAGTAGGGAAGTGTCTGTCCAACAGTACAGAAAGCAAGAACATGAGTTGTGTCACGGGATCGGCAACCAAGAATTCTCCTGAAGGTTTAAGGAAGATGGACGAGGATATCAACCGTTTAGAAGAAAAACAAGATTGTTCCTCACAGAAGATCAAGAGGCTTGAGGGAGGAGGACAGTTACAGAAACAGAGAAACTGCAGTGCTATTACAAGACCAAATCAGAAAACAACACAAAGTTATAGAGTTGCAAGACCAATGCAAAAACCAGCACAAAGCTCTACAGTTGCAAGGCCAGTGCAAAAATTAACATAAAGCTCTACAGTTGCTGTAATACCAATGCAAAAACCAACACAAAACTCTACAGTTGCAACACCAATGCAAAAACAGGCACAGAGCTCTACAGTTGGAAGACCAGTGCAAAAAGTAACACAAAGCTCTACAGTTGCAAGACTATTAATGGAAAAAACAACACAAAGCATCAACGATATGAAGAGTTCGGGAATGAAGTTTGAATCAAGTAAAAGAAAATTTGAGGAAAGGGTTGCTGAGCAAAAAAATGCCAAGAGAAGGATCATAATGGTGTATATGCCTAAACTAGCCAAAGATCCTTCTGCTCCCAAACGCTGCTGGGATAAGAGGAGGAGGTTTTGAGATTCTGATTCCATTTGTTGTACACGAGAATCTTTAAGTTTTCCTTTTTGGCTTGTAATTGTAGAGAGTATCATCATTCACTCCATTTTTTATTGAGCGGTTGATATGTTTCCTTTACATATCTGAGTGATCTTTTACTCTAAAATTAAAAAGTAACAATCATAAAAAAAGCTCGATGGATCACGTAAGTCATTCCCTTTTCAGAATATATATGTAGATTATGTGGCTTTGATGTGGTTTCTCGTGTGTATTTTGGCCCCTTTTCTGGCCTCTTTCATTTTAATCGATGCTTACCTTTTAAAGTATCATTCTCTGTCGACAACTCATAGTTCCTTTATTGACTTTATCCTCTTAGTTGAGCTCCTGTTTCCTGTTTTCCTGTCTTCCTTGCAAGAGGGTATGCTATTAGAATGGAAAATGTTGTCTTTGGTCTAAACTATCTTCTTACCTATTTAAGATTTGACAAAAATCAATATTTTTCTTGTTGCTGTTAGTAAATTCATGTAGGTGCAATTACAGGTGAGGTTGAGAGATGTAACCCTTCAAGATTTAGCATCTGTATGCCTTTGTTAATTGATTTAGTAGTATTTAGTACGATTTCGTACCTCTGAGAGCAGATTGGTTTCCAGTTTGGGAAACATTATAAGCTCAAGGAGATGTTTAACAGGCATAATCATTTGGGAAAGAGTAGATTAAATTTTCAATTCCTAGTTGCATTTAATATAGTTTGTATAGCATCAAGAGTTACTTACAGGAACTTGTTGAAGATGCCTTCAAGTTATCAGGATAATGGTTTCCTTTATGTCTAAAGCACGAGATATGGAACAGAAGTCACATTAATCTTATCAACCGATTAAGGATATGTACTCGAGACCATTGTAGTCGTTTATTACAAGAAAGTAGAGCAAAAATGCTGTGTGATGTTAGTAATCTAAAGAATATTAGGGCAATCCACACTGCAAGCATGGCTCTAACAGTTGTTATCCATTGGGATGTTGCTAACATTAGTATATTACTGCCATTTAGAAGAAGCTTTGTTTTTTGCCATAAGATCAATATCATTCAACGAAGTCAAGCTTATTTGTAGGCTGCACTCTTTATCATTGTCATATTTTCTTGGCTAGTTGAGCCACACGATTACTAAAATATCAGGAGAGTCAACAAATGGATTCTACTCTCCACTGCTGAAAATCCAAGAAAACTGACCTATATAAATATAAGCAACAAACAGTCAGAAAATAAAGGGACTTTCTAATCTGTAACTAGTAACTATAACCTTCCTTTTCATAGCCGTACTTTCACATACTCAATCAGCTCTAAGTTCAAATTTGATTTAGAAAGACTTATAGTTGCAGGAGAGATGTCTGAAAGTAGAATGGTTCATCTCAGGTTAGAAACGAGAAAAGTAATACGCAATGGTTATTTTGCCAGACAATAAAACTGAACTTACCTTCTGATTATTAACAAGTAAATGCAGAGGCTAGACACCTCTGATTTCAATATAGCAAGGCCTTTTACGCCAAAGTTGAATTGAGAGTAGAAAATCTTAGGAACAACAGAGCGACTGGGCCTTGTTTTCCTACACTCTGGTTTATCAGATCTACAAAGAACTAGAATGCTGCTGTTGATCTCCTAATACCTGTACATATGGTAGTGGTAAGAAGTGAATTAGAGGACAAAAGTGAAACATTTCCAATTTTTGATATACAATCACTAAGCATCTATGTTTATAAGAGCTGCACTCCACAATATCAATATGTTAAAGCTATCTATTAGTACAGAAAAAAGATCCAAATCTCATTCTTCAATCAGGTTATGCACATCTTGTTTTAGCTTTCAACCATTGACATTTTTAAGTCATGTATAAGAAAACAAAAGTATTGGAACAAACAAAGCAACTTCTCATTATAGATGTAAGGGCAAAATCTTCTTAAATTAAACTGTTTTTGAAATACACCACAGACGCAAGCAGATACAGAGACACTTATGTATATAGCAGAATATTCATGGTAACTTTAAATTAAAGCAAAATGAAACAGACAGAGAGGTAACAACTCAACACTTCACATATGTTCATTGCTCAAGATAATGAAATTTGATCAATGACCCTAACATCCCAGCACATTCTCCCAAACAAACCCGAGCTCTTCAATTTGATACTTTAGATTTTGTCCAAATTGACTCATCAATGGATATATACCTAGTTTATACAGCAAAACATTGAATAAGTAGAACAAGTTACAATAGCTCAGTCAGTTTAAAACTACAGTTGCAGCACCATGTTACCAGAACTTAAAGTCAAAACAGCTACCACTTAAACATTCAATGGATTTAGGTAAAATAAAAATCAACATCAACCCAGATCAATGACTACTATATCCATTAAGACAACCAAATTTGGATTAACATACCAAAATCAAGTTCAATTTCAGAAAATGCATAAAGGATCTGCAGATTTGCACAATGCTGATGCTTAGAAATGAGGACTTTGGCCACTATTGAACTAAGAGTACCTCTGATAGTAGTTCTTTCTCATAGTAATTGCGGATCTAAATGATTTAATTCATATGCTAAGTAACAGTATACTAGGCAAGAACTAGTCAATCGCCCAAAAACCATAAAAGGAAACTTCTACGAAAGACCTGCAATCTGTAGTACCAATATGACAAATAGTCAATCGCCCAAAAACAAAATAATAATCCAATGTTAAATTATTTGCAACATTCAAACCAATTCATATGAGAAGCACCTTTGATTGGAACAAAACGAACTACAGATTTCATTAATCAAATACTAGTAAACCAGAGGTTTTCCATATACTTTGATCAAAACGAGTCATTTGATTTACATCTCCAACCCTAACGTCCAACAAAAGATGCAAACAAAACCCTAAGACGGATAAAAGAACATTAACCATAAGCATAAGCACAACAAAGCATCTTCCTAAGCCCTTTCACCACGAATCCTCCTGGCGAGCTGAATGTCCTTTGGCATTATGGTGACCCTCTTAGCGTGAATGGCACAGAGATTGGTATCTTCAAAGAGTCCGACAAGGTAAGCTTCAGCAGCCTCTTGAAGAGCAGCTACAGCACTGCTTTGGAACCTCAGATCTGTCTTGAAGTCCTGTGCTATTTCCCTCACCAGCCTCTGAAATGGTAGCTTCCTTATCAACAACTCAGTAGACTTCTGGTACTTCCTGATTTCCCTGAGAGCGACAGTTCCTGGACGGAAACGGTGAGGCTTCTTCACTCCTCCAGTCGCCGGTGCTGACTTTCTAGCAGCCTTGGTAGCTAGCTGCTTCCTTGGAGCCTTTCCACCGGTGGATTTGCGAGCAGTTTGCTTGGTACGAGCCATTTCGAATTTCTGATAATAATATGAAAGAGTTTTGTAGACTGGGATCTGCTTTGGTTGTGGAATAATGGTGAGATGTGTGATAGGAAGTTATATAGGAGGGAAGGTGGGCGGGAATTTTGGGAATTTTTAAGAAGAGTTTGAATTTTTTAGCAGTGCGCTGATTGAGAGTGAATGAAGGCCGTTGATTGGTTAAGATTTGGTTTAACGGTCAAGATCTGAAAAGGATGATAGCTCGGATAGTAATCTCTGTGCTACCAAAGTAACAAATCCATAGCCGCCACGTGGATAAGCTAGTTACTCCCTAATTTGTTTCCTTTCGGGGTTTTTTAACATGTTCTCTTTCTGATTGTACCTAACGTGTTTACTTGTCTTTTCTACTTAATTGAAAATAAACTGCTAATGAATCAAAAAATCAGATGAGCTACGTTATCCCGTTTTTCAGTTTTAAATTCCGAATGCCATCTGCTATTACAGTTACAATACCTTTGCTAATTTACCTCGATAATTTTCTGATGAGCCTAGCCTATTCTTAATTTTCCAGCCAACTTTTCGCATTTACAGATCACTACAATTTACTTAAAATTAGTTCAAATATTGAGGAAGGTCAATCATGAAAGTTGAGTTTTAACAGCTATTTTACGTACAAGCATAATAATCGTGATATAACTCGTAGAAGAGTAGTTAGCTCATCGAAAAATGAAATTAGCCAAGTAACAAATCTTCCTATATATATTCTACGTACTCTCACGTCAATTTCCATGCACTCTGAATAATCAAAAAATAATCTGACGTCCTTTGTGGTCCAAAATGATGAAGGTTTCAAGCAGAAACACTAGTACTTTAAAAATGCTTGTTTTATTCGTAGCTATAACCAGTTTAGTGATGAAAGAAAGCAATGCTCATCCTTGTAGTGCAACTTTCTTTTCGGCATTGATTCAGCTCATACCATGTAGGGCAGCAGTAGCTCCGTTCAGTCCGATCCCACCAAACGAGGCGTGTTGCGCATCGATCAAGGCATTAGGGCAGCCATGTCTCTGTGTTCTTATCAATGGCCCTCCTATTTCTGGTGTTGATCGAACCATGGCCTTGCAGCTTCCTGATAAGTGCACTGCCAACTTTGAACCATGTAATAAATTATCTCTTTTATATACATCTCTATCTAAAATATTTTTTGAGATTTTTTTTTTTTTATGATGTTTGGCTGGTGAGTGAAAAATATTGCTAGTTAGGATTAATAAACACATTAGCATATCGGATAGTGTTTTGATGAATACTTTTTGAGTATTAAGGCTAAGGAAAATGACTTTTGAGCCCGAAGAAAGTCATTCGTTCTTTTTGATGGAAAATATTATGTGTGGTAACCAAACACCAGAAAATGACTTGCTTATGGAAAAACTTATCAAACAATCTACTCATAATTTATGCATATCCTAAGGAACTACGTACTACTCCTTGTCATTTTTTCTTAACAAAGCCTAAAGTTTTTGTTTTAATTTTTTTTTCTTTTGCAGGTGAATTTGCAAAGTAGGAGTACTAAATCTAGTAGCTAAGGTCGAGGAAGAAGTCTAGAATAAATGTGCTGGAGAGCTGGGCTTATGGTGTTACTCTGAAAAAGTTCTAGCTATATATTATGAACAATTAATGAAATATGTACTAAATCAAAGTGTTTAAATTGTTATAGTTTATGTAGCTCGTCTTAATATTGTTACAATGTTCAATATAAGAATTATGTAATGCATACAGTTCGATTTGGATCTCAGATCGCAAGAATCTATCCACTTTATTTGACATCTATATAACAGGTTATTGACCTTTAATTTTAGCCTATATTATTTTATTTTCAAGGATTGCAGAGTAAAGCTCTTCATTGTGGATGTGGTCAAGTTTTAACATTCATTTGTTCGGGTACAACCATTAATCAAGTTAAACCATCTTTTCAAGGTCCATATACGAAGATTTGAACGCAAGTTAATTATCAAATGAGAATTGAGTTATAATTCATTGATACAAAATTCTCTGAATTTTTATTGCTGTAAGACTTTAAAATTATAGCCTTCCATATTCCTACTCGGCCTCCCTTACGCACCAATTATTTTTTTAAGAGATGTCAGCTAACATTCTGTTTTTTCTTTTGGAATTTTGTGTAAATAAGGGGAGGCTAATTAAATGATGATTTAAATGTGATTCACGATTTATTCTTATAGATACACTTACAGGCTAATTAAAGGAATTTTTACCTCCTATAGCAAAGGTTAACACCTTATTTATTTTAAATAAATACCATTTAAAAAAATTATATTCTATAGATACCTTTTAGGTTTATAGCAAAATATTTAATTTTGGTTACCTCCTAACCCTAAGCCACTAAATACGCTAATCAGTTATACTATTTTCTTTCTCTCTCTACTTTGATACATCCCATGCTCTTCCCCATCCCATTAAAATTTTCGATCTCTTCCTCCGATCAACTTTCACCAATGGCCACAAAGAAGAGTCCCCGCAATCCAGAGTAGATTCGTGGAGTGGGAAAACTTTCCCGTTCCAAGATGTACCACAAAAAGGGTCTATGGGCAATCAAGAAGAAAAACGGCCGCTGACATTAAACTTTTCTCCTCCCTCCCTTTCTCTGTCCCTTGTTTCCTTGATTTGTAGATATATTAATTATCAGTCAAAACTGATTAAAGCCCCCATCCCATTATAATAGATGCACTGATTCTTGAAGATTGCTATGTTCAAGATTCTCACCAACAACAGCAGCCGCCGACGTTAAACTGATTCTTGAACAGCAGCCGCCGACATATAATCCGGTTGGTTTGTTCTTGAACAAAGACGATGGAGTTTGGGGCTGAGCAACTTGATTTTCTGTTAATATATTTCAATGTATTTTCATGTATTCATTGTCTTTTTCTTCATTGTAATTCAATGTGTCTCGTTGTATTCCATGTATTTATTTCATTGTATTCACTATCTTTTTTCTCATTGTATTTCAATGTATCCCGCTGTATTCTATGTATTTCATTGTATTCACTGTCTCCACTACAAGAAATCTGCCTTTTAGCGGCGACCTTAGTCGCTACAAAATCATCATATGTCGCCACTAAATATTTATAGTAGCGACATTTGACTTGCTGCAAGTAAGTCCATTACTAAATGTTATTTGTGACGACTACAGATTGTCGCCACAGAATGGTTACATTTGTGGCGACATTATCGCTACAAAAGGTAAGCCAAATCGCCACAAAAGGTAGTTCCACCAAATAGATTCAGGGGTAAGTCGCCACTGAAGATGACATTTACAGCGACAATGGTCGCCACAAAAATAAATAACTATCGGTGGCAGCTACTTTATCGCTACTAGGTTATTTTTAGTAGCAACTCTCATATCGCTACAGGAGAGTTACTTTTAGTAACAATTGATGTCGCCACAAAATACTTAACTATCAGTGGCAACTTCAATATTGCAACAAATACTTTTCTGAATAAGATTTTGTCACCAATGTGTCACGACCCGGATTTCCCACCCTCGGGAGTCGTGATGGCGCCTACTAATAAGAGCTAGGCAAGCCAATTATCGAATACCTCTTTTAGCGAACATCGACAATATTAACAACAATGAAGCATTTAACGAATAAGGCGGAAGTCTCAAATAAAATTTACTAAAAGAAATGCGGANTGTCTTTTTTTTCATTGTATAATTCAATGTGTCTCGTTGTATTTCATTGTATTCACTATCTTTTTTTCTCATTATATTTTAATGTATCCCGCTGTATTCTATGTATTTTATTATATTCACTGTCTCGCTATATGCCATGAATGTATTCGTAAGTTTTTTTTAATTAATATAATTTATGTATTCAGATGTATTATATAATTTCTCTGAAGATTGCTATATTTTTGAAGTATTTTTCGGTTGAGAATCTTTTTTATAACTGAAAATACAAATTTTGTGTGTTATAATTGAGTTTGTTGAGTTATATTAGGAGTCTATTATGTTAACTGATTCACTTTCCGTTTAAAAACGGTGTAATCCCCTATTTCACGCCGTGAATACAGTTGAATACAATAATCTGTCCAGCTGTAATCCCATGTTTCACTCCATGAATACAGTCGAATACACTCGAATACAACAACTGATTAGCTGGACTTCCCTGATTCACACCTATTTTTGCTACTGTATTCATGAATACAAATAGCTTAAAATACATCAAAATACATCTTATAACCACATAAAAAAGTATCTATAATCCGTAATATAGCAAAATGAATATCTAATAGATAACTAATTAACTACTAAAAAGATAAGTGCTTTAATAAAAAATTTCCCATTTATGTATCAAGCCAAA